AAGGAGGAGAAGGAGAAGAAGGAGAAGAAGGAGAAGAAGGAGAAGAAGGAGAAGAAGGAGGAGAGGAATAAAAAAAAGAAAGTTTTCGTTGCCAAAAATAGTGAAGAAATAATTGCAATTCATGAAGCTAACAATAAAGGAATAATTTGCGTTTTAACGTACTTGAAAAAAAAACAACAAAAAAACCAAAACTCAGAGTTAAATGAATAATTCTTGTTGTTGAAGTTTTTTACCGCTGTTAATTTTTAACAGGCGCAGAGCCGCCAACATAATGAAATCAACGGTGGTGTTTGTCTTTATACTGTTCCTTCTCAAGCACAAAGTCACCTACGCTACGATGTGGCCGACCAAACAATACTCAGAAAAAGATGTGTACTTGCAAGGATTCACTCTTGAATCGTCCAAGGTGGAAACAATCTTTGAATGTTATAGAAAGTGTGAGGACAACATACATTGTGCAAGCATCAACATGAACCTGACGAACAAGACATGTGAACTGAAGTACTCTACCAAGACTAGACACCCAGAGAAGATTGTTAGCCAACAAAACACCATCTACATGGAGATACGAGAGCATAAAGAGCCAGGGTCGGGACCTGATAATCCTATCACATCCTGCAAAACCCTGAAGCAGAGTGACAGCCAGGCTGAGTCAGGTGTTTACTGGATGAAGTTCAATGAGACATCCTCTGAGCCATTCCAAGTGTTCTGTGACATGACCACCGATGGAGGAGGCTGGACCCTTGTCTACAGCTATACATTCTCTGACTTCGATAACTTCAATACAGACGACAACGTAATTACTCCAGTACCRAATTGGCCTCTCAATATGTCACCAGCTAATGAATGGTCACCAATATCAACGACAACCCCGCTCAATGAGTCTTCCTACTCTGCCATGGATTTTGTAATGTGGAAGAAGATTGGTCGCGAGTTTCTTCTCAAGTGCAATATCACTAACTGGGTAGCCTGTGTAGAAGGAACCGGACGTCTTGTGGACTGGGTGACAGGAAGTCTTACGTGTAGAGTTGTCAAGGCCATTACACCAACATGCACGACTATTGCTCCAGACAGTTTTGAGTTTTGGAGCTGTGGTCCAGCGTTTAGGAACAGTGCCTCAAATAATTACCAGTTTATATTGGACGCATATCTTAAGCTTCACCAATGTCATCCTATGCATGATCCTTGTGCTCTGAGTTCAGAAAATCATCTCAAAAATGTATCCAGCCCTGCCTGTGCCTTGCACCTTCGTTAATCCGGAAATGGATGGATCGGAGAGAAAATCCCATTTATGACAAAGAGAGGAAACAATGCAAGATTCTTAAACTGTTTTATCACACTATCTTGTAGATCAGTTTCAGTTTATAAGAAATTAGAGGAAATCAAATGGACACCAAGATAAAGATATTCGTTATCGTACAAAAGTAGAAGAATGGTGCACTCTGACACCATTCGCTCACACAAGAGCTAGAGTTCCTTTCAAGAATGGGCCACGACACCTAGCTTTCAAATATTTATTATATATCTTAGCACAACCTCTGGCCATAACTGTTTGATCCCAAACAAGTCCACTTCACAATAAGAAATGCATTTCTAAATTTAGGCTGGCAAATTGAACATTATTTCTGAGAAATCGAGCTTTAGTCTTAAAAAATAATGCTTGAGCTGCAAAATACCGTCGACACAGAACCCTGTGCTTGCTGTTTTGACCTCATTTAGTGATGCTAAATTTGAATGCATGATAAACAATTTGATGCCTTTGCCACATCCTTAATCATGTACAAATCTTTATATAGAGCTTCAAAGTATGACGTCAGTCGTGTGGGAAAACGAAAACTGGGTCCAAACAAGAAGTAGTTCTATAAAGATTTTTCTTTCTTTTTCTTCATCGCTGCATTTTATTTATTTATTTATTTTTTTTTCAAAGTTTTTTTTTTTCTTCAGATGGAGTTTAAATCACTGGGAACAATTTTCGCTTTATTTTAAAGATTTTTGTCAGCAGTTGGACCCGGAAATACGTCACAACTTAACCTCTCTATAGGTCAAACGCATGAGAGATATGGATGTGCTAATGAAACTGAATCTATGACAKGACGTTTATAACCACTTTAGGTAAAAACGCAAATACTTTGCAAAGGCTTAAGAAATTTTAGTCTATTGACTTTTTATTTTAACAATTTTTCCTTTGGGTCTAACAAGCAGAAATTGTGTAATAATCTTTCCCTTTATTTGCTCATTTCTTTATTTTGTTCTACTTTCGCTTTTTAACAGTTTAAAATTCAATTTTTGCAATAAATATTAAATTACAAAATTGCTAATAAAACTAAAATGCACGAATTGATGTTGGTGTTCTGATGCCTCTAGCCATTCCTTAGATACACAATTCATGGACATTCATAGATATTTTGAGGTATCCCAAAAGCTTGTCTTATCATCTCAAAATAGGTTTTACCTAATTAACAATAGTCTCCCTCGCATCCGTTTTTAGTGTCGGTCGTCACGCAATGTCTTTTATTAAATATGATTCATCTCTTTAAAATATGAATCACAGATTGATTGACTCCCTGCTTTAAACCAAGTGATTGTTATAAACATAGTGGTTTGTGTTCAATTCTTGGCGTTTATAGGGTTTTGATGATTAAAAAATTTTTTTTTTAAATTAATCTAAATTTTATCGATACCCTGAAACATCCTCTGACAATAAATTGTTTTGTATTATTTTCATTTATCGACATATATCCTTTTTTCGGGCATTTTCATGTTGAGCAAACTGAAATCTCTTACTATCAATTTAACATTATAAAATTGGGCCTAAAATGTAAAGACTCGAATGCCAAACAAAAGAGAATTAATATTTTCGAGTAACGAATAGCTTATTAAGTGGTTGAGGTCATCCAAATATCTCTCAGTGAAAACGCTTACGAAGTGTATGCAGGAACTTGTGATAATTTTGATTGTTAAAACTGGTGAGGCGGTGATTGGTCAAAACAAGGTCACGCCATTTCACGTCACCCCAATGTAATAGGTTTATCCCAATTTCTTGTTGGCTCCTTTTTGATGTAAGGCTTGGTAACCCTTCAAAGTGGGATGACCATGATTGGTCAACACAAGGCCAGGTAATTTGACGTCACCCATCTTACTAGGTTCATTGCAATTTCTTTCTACCTCATTCTAATGTGAGGCTTGGTAACCCATCAAAGTGGGATGACCATGATTGGTCAACACAAGGCCACGTAATTTGAAGTCACCCATCTTACTAGGTTCATTGCAATTTCTTTCTACCTCATTCTAATGTGAGGCTTGGTAACCCATCAAAGTGGAAGGAGCCGTGATTGGGTAAACACAAGGCCACGTCATTTGACGTTAACCATCTTACTAGTTCCATTGCAATTACTTTCTGCCTCATTCCTCATGTGAGGCTTGGTAATCCTTCAAGGTAAACGGACCCACATTTTTGTTTGGGGGGAGGAGAGGGACGGGAGAAAAATATTATTCACTCAGTTATAAGGAACTGAGATATTAAATTCAGTACCCCCAACAACATTATGAAGGAATGAATCAATATTCTTGGCCAAGATAGCTTGCCCTGGTTTTTCTTATCAACCAAATGTACCAGACAAGGTAAGGTGAAAATGTAGGCCAAGCCACTGATAGAACCAAYGTATCTGAAAAATATGTACTGGATGAGAATTTGGGTATTGATGTTATCATTACTTGGTCAAAATGTTTCTAAAATGGATGCAACGGACCTTCCATGGGGATAATGGTGATGATGATGACGCTAGTGGTAATCTTGATGACGATGACGATGAGGGTGGTGTTTATGAAGACGATAATGCTTGATGATAATGGTGGTGATAATGATGGTGGTGATGATGATAACGATGATGATGATAACGATGATGATGATGACGACGACGATGATGAGAGTGGTGTTGGTGTTGGTGATGTTGATGATGACGATGATGATGATGATAATGGTGGTATTACAGTCAAACAAGCTCACGCGTTGACCCCTAGAGTCGATTAATGATTTGAATTTTCGAATTTTGATTTCATTATTCAGTTGAAATTTACAACGTCGAAAACGAAGATATGAAAATTCCAATCAACTTTAAATTCAATATACGACATTTGGATTGGTTTATCAGTGCTAACACAGCCGGAAGACCAAGAAAACATGGCGGTCAGAAATAGTCTTGGCCGTGTTTATGTGCCGGGAAAGCCTTAACCTGATATTATTCGACAGGAAATTGTTCATCTCAGCAATAGCGGATTGTCCAATAAAGCAATTTCGTGACAACTGAAAATTTCTACAAAATTTATCCTCCAAGTAATTGAGGCATGGAAATTACAAAACCTAGTGTGTATGCTTATGAAATAAGAGTGCGACCTCTGCTCGAAGGTATCTGTAATTTAGATGATTTACCTTCTTTAWCACGAGTCGAATAATGAACTGAATTTTCATTTGAATATTGCAATATTGCATTATTCCGGTTCGTACGTATAAAAGGAATAATTGACTAATGATTTCATTAATCGAATCTAGGGGTCAACGCGTGAGCTTGTTTGACTGTAATGGTAGTGATGATAGTGATGATGTTGGTGGTGTTGATGATGATGATAATGGTGGTGATAATGATGATGGTGTTGATGGTTACGATAGTGATGACGATGATGATGGTGATGATGATGGTGATGATTGCGAGTATGGCAATGATAGGTCGAGGATGGTTGTGATGATGATTTTTATAATGGTGATGCCTACAATGATATGAAAGTGCTAGTTATGGTTTTTTTTACCTTCACCTTCGCCAAAAGGCAATTATTCGCAAAGCATTCACCTAAGCCTTCACGAAACAGCCCCTTGATAAAAAAAGCCAAGTCTGCCTCACCTTATGATTGTACCAACGTGAGGATATAAACAGGCGAATGCCACACAAGCACTGATGATCAATATGTTAAGTGCCAACACATGCCACGGTCTAAGGGTAAAGAATAGAAGATGAATAATCTAATTAACACATGAACATAGTTCTACCCAAGGGAACTGTGGTATTCAATCACTCGACCCAATCTCGTACCCAGAGCCTGTGTTTCTTCTGGCCAGCGGCGAAGAACGAGGGCTCTGGTATAATCCATTTTTTGAGACCAGAATTTCTTGGACTTCCGGTATAAGCGCGCTTGCATTCAAAGACTTGCCAAAACAAAAACAAAAATATATATTTATGTATGTTCCCGATTTCTAATTTTTATTTTGATCGGAATTAAGGACAGAACTTTGTTTGAAAGCATTATATTTCACTTCCGGAAAATTGCGCATGCGCCAAAAATGGATTATGCCAGAGCCCTCGTTTTTCTTCCCAGGTCAGAAGAAACGCAGTCTCTGGGTACGAGATCGTCACTCGACCCAGGATTTTATAATGAAGCACGCATGGCATACGCTGCTAATACGCCGCCTCTAACTGTTGTGTTCATCGGCACTACTTCTATTATCTTTCATCATGGGTGTGTGAGTGTAGTTGTTCTACAGCTCGTCTGGGGAAGGGGGAAGAGATGGGTGCGCATTCCAATACCCCTCCCCTAGATCCGTCCCTGAGATTAAAGCCTAGAAAAGTTATGATTGTCTCGAGATTAGTTTGACATCTTACCCAGGATATGATTTACCAAAGAAATAAAGCATAAATTGAACCCTGACGATGTAGGTGAGCAGAGGAAAGACGGTAATTAACTGAAAGAATAGACCAATACGAGCACCGAATGCCATGCCATCATCTGGCTGCATGTTGTCTAGAAACACCTGGATGATAAAAAAGAAAAAGAAAGAAAAAATAGGAATCAACCCTGAGCATCGTGTTTACCACTATCCGCTAACCTGTAACTGCTAGGAATCAGGCCCCGAAAAACGCCCGCAAACACCGAGAAACACTCGGCATCAATGAAATTTAATATGGCCACTCTTCCAGCAACAACTTTGTTATGAAACCTTGATAAATGTCGAAAGTTTGAAGGAAAACGCCTGACGTCGAACTGGGGTTTGCAGGGCTAGCAAGAACGTGCTAGAACGTCTCTGTGTACGCCGTGGCACTGTTTTTTTTTAATGGAAAAGGATAAATGGAGCAAACAAGCAGTATGCAATTCCTTACCTGTGAAATACAAGACTTTTCTAATGGAAAAGCAGCGTAAAATACAGCTCCGACAAAGATATATGTAAACGCGACCAGGAAATACGCGATGCTCAGGTCACGTGACTGCAATTAAATTAAGAACCAAGAATCAGTGTCTTGTGTGGCTTAACTATTCCAAATATGGACCATTAAAAATGGGTTCACGTGGAATTCGAAAGAAATGGAAGGTTTTGACTGAGTTCATCGCTAATCACAACCGCAAGAACAGCAGACGAGACGAACTAAAAGCATGAAAAGCCTCCTCTGGCAGCCGCAATACAGTCCATGAATGTATGACCCCGGAGCACAGCTCTAACCAGTTTGAATTAGTCAGGGTTGATTTGAGGATACAAGAGCCGGATACCCTTGGAGTCAGAAAGAGAACCAAACAATTCATCTCACAAGGGGCGACTGGAAGTCGTTCCTGGAGAGCAGAAGTGAGAGGCGAGTTTTAAGGGGGCTCGTACTAGAAATTTCAGTTACAATTATTTTAGACTTAAATGGATTTAAAATTGATTTCATATCCAGGAGTTGAGCATGAAGGACAGGAGCCAAGGGCAATAGGCAAATTATCCTATAACAAAATTGCTGGAAAATTCCTTTAAAATCACTTTGCAATCATCTAAAAGAGCAGAGCTTTGTGGCTTATCATTTTATGCGCCTACGCAGTACAACATTGGCCATTTCCGAAAATTCGCGGAAAGTGGTAACGATTAGGACGCGCGCTGAATGCTAAAAAGATGTATTTTTCATTAAACAGATTTTAGTTTTTGAATCAAGTCATAATTACTTTGGTTTTCCGTCTGTTTTGCAAGAACAATTGCTAAGGTTTCCGTCATATTGAAAAAAAATGGCGTCCCCTAAACCAGCCCCATGATTCAGCGCGCGCCCTACTCGTTACCAGTTTTCCGCACTATTTTAGAAAGGCCAATAGCTGAGTCACTTGTTCCTCTTTATTACTTACATTGACACTAGAGAAAAACGTTTGCGCATGCGTGCATTTCAGCACGTTTTCTAAGAATTTTGAGTGAGAAAAAAATGCTTGTTTTCTCCGAGTTTACAAAAACGTTCGCGAGTATACTTTAGTCAGACCAAGATACTGTATTAACAAACACAATATGAAAGAATCAGCCTTAAGTTTCAAGCATGGACACTAAGTTTTAACATTTTGTGAAGCCCAATTTATCAGGCATGTTTGAAAGTCAAATTTACATATGTTTTGACTAATTTGCATACGGATTCAGAGCATGCGCATACGTTTTTTACTCGCGTCACTTACATTATTTTCTGGATTTTTTTGGGTTCGCATAATTGATAACACACAATTATGAATGAAATACGCCAAGGTTAGAGTTCCAACAAGAGCTGGAAACTGAAGCTTGAATTCTGGAGGAAAAAGAACTCGGTTAGTTCAGTTGGTAAGAGCGTCGGTCTATCGTTCGGGAGGTCTCGACAGGACCAACACTCAGGGTCTTAAAATAACCGAGGAGAAGATGCTGCCTTTGTAATAGGACGTTTGCACGATGGCGTCACGGACCTCTACTACCAGACTCCCTTGTACACTTTCTTTTGTTTTGTTAATTATCACCAATTGTCTTACTTTTTTCATGAGGGAACAAATTTAAAAAAGAAAGATTATCATATGACCCGTATCTGCTCGGGCGCGCGCTCTTAAAAAAACCTTCGGGAAAATGGCGTGAGCAGGGCCGTACGAATCCGGACCGAGCGCAGTACTGCATCACCTCGAGTCAAATATTTTCCCGTACGGCCCTCCCACCCAGCCAATAAGTACATAAAATTCAAGAAAGCATTAAGGTAGTGGGAGTAAAATGACGCTTTCATACAAACTTCATATTACATCTACAAATGGTTAGACTTTCAAGTGGTTCGGATGACCACGTTATGGCGGTCCCGTCCATAATTAACTAGAGACGTTAAAAGACGAGTTTATCAGTTGAATTACTGTCAAGTGCCATCCTCTATAAACAAAGTTATTTTTAAAGTTAAAATGAAGAAAAATAGGTGTAAAAATAAGAGAAAACCCATAACGCAAAAACACTTGAACTGTGAAATAGAATCAAACTAGTTACTAACAAATAGTCGCTATTTACTTGATAGATATTAATAGTCGTTATCACTGAGCCAGAACAGTTTATGACACAACAATGAATACACAAGGAACTCACACAAAGGAATACACAAGAGACCATCAATTCTAAATGTTTTTTATCCAGTTTCATAATGAATTTTTGAGTCCTAATTACTCTGATAAATTTGCTTGAAATAAAACTGGATAAAAACATATTYGTATTGGTCTCTTGTGTATTCCTTGTTGTGTCATAAACTGTTCTGGCTCAGTGATAACGGCTATTAGTATCTAAATAGCGACTATTTGTTAGTAACTAGTTTGATTCTATTTCACAGTTCAAGTGTTTTTGCTCTATCGCAAAATTAGTTTTACCTGGTATTTTATCGTGTCCTGAGAAGTCCATATGTATCCCCCAGATACTTGCTTTGACGGCCACAAATATGATAATGTACATCACGGCCAGCGTACCTTGAAAAAACACCATAAAAATAGTTAACAGACCAGCAGGCCAGGTGCTTTGGAATCTAGGCGCGCAATGCATTGTCACAGCGAACATTTCCAAGCATTTATTTATTATCTTTTGTCAACACGAAATATTCTCCATCCACGATAAATTATGCTATTTCTAGCAGATATTTGATGATTGAGTTTTATTTTCTTTATTTTCGAGTAAAAGCTGTCGTTTTATGGAACCGAAAACCTAGAACTGGGGAATATTGAGCTGCGGACAAAATGTTCGCTGATTGGCTAACTCGCTCTGGCTGAGAGAAGTGAATTCAAATCACCTGGAAGCAAGCAAAGAGCTCCGCAGATCAACCCAAGCAAAAACCATCCAACTTTTCTCATTCATTATTTTTGTACACTGACATCTACCAACAGTTTTAAACAACTGCAAAAACGAATAGCTTAGATTTATATGAGAACATGCGTAATAGGTAAATTACGAGCCTATGAAACGACTGAAAAAGAAAGCCAATGAGCCTTTCACAACTTCAAGTCACATAAAAATGAGCCAGCTCAACTAGAAACCCTGGACAGCTGCTTCGGCCTGTATTGGGCCTATCTAGTCTCCACGGTTTCTAGTTGAGCTGGCTCATTTTTTACGTGACTTGAAGTTGTGAAAGGCCCATTGGCCCTCTTCTTCAGTCGTTTCATACAAGGCTCGTAATTTACCTATTGCGCATGTTCTTATATGATTTCCGAGCCCATCCCACATGGCTTACCGCCTCATCTCTCATAGCTTTATATGCATGAGCTTAGAAAGTTGTTTTCTACTTACAAAAACTTTCTAGGAGTTTAAGGAATAGCACGAGCCTTGCTCGCAGTATTATACAAAGAGATATACGTACATTTTCCAGGGTTCACGCTACATCTCAAACTCAAAATTCAAGGATTTTAAGGGCTTTTCAAGGTCCAAAATAACGATTTTCAAGGATCATTTTTTTCCTGAATTTTTTCTTAACGATTTATAGAGACAAAAACACATTACTTGAATGACTTCATTTCAAAGATTACTTTAAAAGTTTTGAAGCTCAGCACATGAGTTACCAACGCCTTGCCATTGGAGCTAGAATCGAAATACGTTACAATTTCGAAGAGTATTCCAGAAGTATCCAGCAACTGTGCTTTTTCAAGGGTTTTTCAAGTGCACTTAAAATGTGTTTTCATTTCCAGGGCTTTTCAAGGATTTCAAGGAGTAGCACGAACCCTGTTGTCGTACATGTTGCAACCAATCATATACTAGCTTACCAAGTGAATTGAACTTAGTGAAAAACGTAGGAGACTTGATGCTACACAGCGGAAGTAGGAGAACGATCAAGAAGAATGGGATGGTCTTTTGCATGTCCCAGTACTTATAAAAACCCGTCTGGTCTGAAGATGTTGGTGTGGAATTAGGGCCTTTTGGACACAACACTGGAACTAATAAAAGCAAAACTTAAGATTTATGAACCCTGAAACATCTGGGATGACTTAAGCAAGGGTATACCTAACCCACAGATGGAACCCTGAATAAACAACCTCTGGGCTGATCTAAGTCAAGGCACGGCTTACTTACAGGTCGAGCCCTGAAAAAAATTTTCAGTTGATCTAAGTCAGGTAATGGCTAGCTCACAGAATGAACCCTGAAACAACCATTGGGTAACAGCGCCCCCGCAATGATCCTGTAACCAAATAACGGATAAAGATCTCGGAGGAATGCGTTACTTTAATATTAATGGTTACAGGATTGCGGCAGTAAAGGCTTGTTTACACAGCGTTTATGCGGTGACGCAACGTTTCATCCGATAAAGGCACAGGCAACCCAGACGAAAGCATTAATAACAACTTTATTTAATGAGGGTGGCACTAAATAGTGTACTACACTAATAAACTTGTGGCCCTCAACATAAAACTCCTAATATTTACAAATTTAAAAATATAAAATATATGTAATAACAACTATCAACATGAAATTATAAGAAAAATTGACTATAGTATAATAAAGCAATACATCAAGATTAAAATGAACTATATATAGATTTAACTGTGAAGCTCAGCGACACCACGCTCACGCGGACGACGCAGCGACGCAGCTGAACGTAAATAATATACTTCAGCAACGTCGAAACGCCGCCCCATRAACACGACGCCGCCAAACTTCACAGCCAAATTAAACAGGAATCTATATTATAAATGTAAAAGGGTAAAATCGAAATGGAATAAAATGAAAAGAAAATTAGGGGGGAAAAAAATAATAATAATAAAAGGAAACTATAGATAAAAATGTGGAAAAAAAGTCTGCTCTTCGAGAAATTTCCGGCGAAGAGCGCGTTTAAACAATTGAACTGATACTGTTGCATTGAATTTATCTTATTTAGAAAGCTTACCTTCAGTAACGTTTGATGTGTTCCTCGAATAAGCGTGTATTGAATGATCTGTGGAGAAACAAATTCAATTTCTATTTTTTCTTTTTTGTTTCCATTCTTTTCTTTTCTTTTCCTTTCCATCCCTTTCTCTCTTCCAATCTTTTCTCTTCTATTTTTTTCCCTCTCCTCTCCTCCCCGGTGCTCTGCTCTGCTCTCCTTTGCTTATCTTGCATACCGTGTATAAATTTTCCACTGTTGAATAAGAAGGTTGACATCAAAACCCAGAAGACAATGGCAGCTCCACCAATAGCAGCTATGGAAAATACTGTTGCACCCAACTCTCCATAGTGACCAAAGTGCTTTTTACAGATATCAGCAAACTCCACCATTTCGCCTCGCTGAACTGTTAAATGAAATGATGTAAAGAAAAACCTTGGATCAAATTTATATCAAAAAGTAATATTTCATCCCCTGCATCTATCATTCACTCCTTCCTTCCCTCCCTCCCTCCTTCCTACCCTCCCTCC